GAAGCAAAATTTGGTGAGAGTAATTTAGACTTAGATATCTAAATATTATTTTTTTTAAAGTAATTTAATTATTCAACAAAGAGAAATCATTTTTGAAAGATCAATATTCAAGTTGGAAAAAAAAGGCAATCAATATTTGAGAGGTTTTGGAAGCTTTTCTTTCAATTAGTGAATTTGATTCTTCTCAAATTTTGTATGCTTATTAATTTCTTATAAATTGAAATATAGATAAAATTTAATTAAGACCAATAATTTGATTAATATTGTATGAGGTTTTAAAATATCTAAAGTAATTGATTAAGATTTATTTAAGATTTTCTTAGATTTGTTTAGAATTTGGTTAAAGTTTAGTTAAGGTTTTATTAGGATTTCATTAAAATTTGGTCTAAGATTTAAGATTTTATTAGGATTTGGTTAAAATTTGATTAGGATTTTTTTAGGATTTATTTAGGATTTTGTGAAGATTTGTTTAGAATTTGATTAAGATTGGTTTAGAATTTTATTAAAGTTTGATAGGATTTTTTTAGGTTTTGTTAAAGATTACGTTAAGATTTGATTAGAATTTAATTATGGTTTTTATTTTTTATATTTATTTAATATTTATTTGATATTTATTTAGGATTTTTTATTATATATATATATAAAGATTAATTTATAATTTCTTTATGTTACTTTTGTAAATTCTTTGAAATTTATTTTAAAATTTAATTAAAGATTGATTAATATTGTTATAATTTAATAAGAATTTTCTTATGATTCTATTAAAGTTGTTAAGATCTTTTTATTGTAAGTTTCATTTTTTTTCTTCCATAATTAAATACTTAATGCTCTCTCAAGCAAACCTCAAAAAATACATTTAATAATGCATTGATTAATAAGAGATGTTAAAGTGAGCATGCACACACTAGTTAAGATGAGTGATTAAATGAAGTATGCATGCACTAATCAAGAGTACCTACTGAAGTGAATATGTGTTACGGACATACATATTTACACTAATAATTATCTAGATAATAAGAATAGGTAGAAATAATATGATAATATCTTATGGAGAGCTTTTTAGAAGCTTCATAGATGCTGCTTTGTCTTTATACATGTCTATAGATGATTGGTAGGTTGAAAACTTGGCCAACAAGGAGGCCACATGTTAACATGTTGACCACTTGTAGTACAAGTTGGACATATGGTGTACACCTAGAAAACTCGCCTTACAAATTAGACATGTGTTCTGCAAGTTGGACGTGTATTAGAAGTCCTATAGCATATTGCCACATAGTGCTTAGTTAAGTAGTATATATAGAGGCAAGAGTGAGACCTTCCTCACTCTTATCAACTCTTTTCTTGATTTTAGTCTAGTTTCAAGAGTCTTATGTTTTTTAGTCTTTGGCAATAGCTATTCTAGTTCTTCTTTGAATATACATATTTTTTTCTATCTTGTCACTTTTCTTTTGGCATAGATTCCATGAGTTTATATATCTTCTTCCCATTTGTATCCTTAATAGTATGCATTCACTGATTCAGAAGACTTGTCAAAGTAAGCATGCATTCACTGATTCAGAAGAGCTATCAAAGTGAGCATGCACACATTAATCAAGAGGACTTGTCGAAGTGATCATGCATGTATTGATTAAGGCGAGCTGTCAAAGTGAATACGCATGCACTGATTAAAAGAAGCTATCAAAGTAAGCACATTCATTGATCAAAGAAGAGCTGTTAAAGTAAGAGGATCACATGTCGATGATTGAAAGAATATAAAAAGGATATTTTTATACTATATAGCACACTATTTGGATGCAAAAGACTACCTTAGTATTTCTTGCTATATAACCAAGGTTTGTGCAATTTAAATGGAGGCAAGGGCATGGGATTAGCACGAGGCCTAGGCATTGTGGAAAAGTGTCACTTCAAGCTTCAATTAAAACTAATAAAAACTAGAGACACATAAGTTATCAGTCCAAAGGACATTTTTGCAATTATCACAAAAAACAAGGATAGATGTAATATTATACTATAAAATCAAATTGATTATATTTTGTATTTTAGATTTTTATTACATGCAAAATGTTTTCGTGGTGCTTATCATGTTAGAGCCCATGGATCCCGATCAACTTGTTCCATTCTCATCCGGTGGTACCGAGGAGGCAAGGCGAGTTTCGAGGTATTCCAGACCAGATCTTGAGACCGCCCGTCTGGGCTCCCTCTAGAGGAGTAGCCTGGTCTACAGTTCCGCTGGCTATTCTTCGGGCCGCGCAAGACTCGGTCCTGTTTGAAGACTGGTATTGCAACCTACAGTGCTTGATGCAGCTTATCAATATGCTCTCACGGGTCGGTGTGATGTCGGCTGTACCTACACACCCCGCACGACTTGAAACCTTATCAAGTTTCTTCGATTGCAAATTAAAGAACTACCTCATCCGAAAAGTCTGATTCCTCTCTTGCATTTACCGTGCAGGTTGCTCGGCGTTTCTGCGAGAGCACATTACAGGTGAGCAGAAGGCCATTATAGATGGAGGAAACGGCATGGGGACGTCTATCGTAGAATGATGAACTCCGTTGTAGCAACACTCAGAGACGTACCCAAGCTCTATCATAGAGCTTTTTGCTCATCACCAGAGAAAAGGTGGGTGGCCACAACTGGATCCTGTTCACCTTTGACTCCCGACTCCCTGGGTGGCCGGCAGCCAACCCTTCCCGAACATTACATCGGGGTAAAACTCGGTACATGTAACTGCGTGTGGTCAATGATAAAGGCATTGCTGATTTTAGTGGTGATGTTATATGTCTGCCATCCTCTTGCTCCCTCTCATGCCTTAAGGAATGCCAGCTTTGTATCACATCACTTCCTCACTGCTCTCATTCGGAATGACACAGGCACTCTTCGTTTCTTCTGCTTTCTTAGCTCATATCAGATGAACAGTTCGTATATGCTGATACTGGGGGGTGCGGAAATCTCTCTCTGCGTCCTGAGATACGTGGGTTAAATTGATTTTTCCTTCTTCCCTGTGGTAAAAATTTAGAGAATCCAATCCACATGCATTCTGTTTTTTTTTTAAGGTTTTTCCTTGAATTTTTTCTTCGTTTTGATTATGGATGAGGTGTACTAAACATATTGGTAAGACATCAATTATGATACTGTATCAAATTGTATTGGGGTGAATTATACGTTTTCAATTGTCCGTTTTCAAATGCTTTCATATCAATTGTGGACCATTTTTTGTTACTTTTTTTTGCATTTTTTCTATAAAAAATCTTTAATTTTTTTTGACAATGAAATTATGTTGATAACAAGACCTTTATCAATGTTCTTCATTATTTTATTTTATTGTTTCAAAAATTATTATTCATATCAAGTTAGAATTTCAAAATGGGAAAATTACATCCTCAGACCTAGAGGTGAAGTAATACCTGTATGGACCTGTGTATTAGAAGTTGTTTTGAAAAAATCAAAATATTGATATATATATATGTTAAATTCACCCGGAATTCGCTTTTGTTCCTTAATATAATTATGTCTTGTTGACTTGTATTGAAGTGAACACATATCAAGGTATCCGTTCCATTATGCAAATTGTCCCTCAAAGTTCTTTGGAAGGTTTATCTTGCCTTGCCAATGATTCCAAAAATAGGTCATAGGCACAAGTGTTCTGAGGTCATTGTTGAGATTACAACTTCCTTATCTCCAAGTAGTGAGAGTTTGAACAAAGAATAAGGATATATTCTATAAAAGTTTATAACTTAATCACTATCAGTTCCAAAATTTGCAAATCCAGTTGCTGTAGGTTTGGAATGAAGCTGTCTCCAACAAATCACAACTCACTATTTCACAAAATGATGAAAAAAAACTGCAAAACTATATCTGAAATTTTGTAGAAATATTTTGCAACATTGTCATGTGTTATGCAAACCCAAGTATGACATCAACACACACATTTTTTTGAAAGAAATACTCATTATGAACATTCTTATGATTATGGAATTACTACACGAAACACTGCTCATAACCATGTGCGGTGAAGCAGCCTTCGAAGCCAGTGGCTCTTCCAACACTTCCTTCAAGAGCTTTCGGTATTGGATTCAAAAAATAATCAATGAAGGAATGTAGAAAAGCATTTGGTATAACCTGCTTGTGAATGGTATGCCTGTGAATAAAAGTTGGAATTGGACTTTGATTGGGGCCACAATGAGCTTTTCTACCCAACTGGGGTCCACCTAATCAAACACTCATCCAAGGCTATGGGCGTTTTATGAGGCAGTAGGTGTGGGTCCATATCTCGGGAAGCATACTTATCCTACGAGCTTTGGGAAACTCAGCTGCTGCTGATGTTTAGTAAAAAATATCTTTATACAACTCTCTTGATTGACTCACGCAATCCTCAAATCCTTGAACACAAACTATCAATTTGCGCCAAACAAATGGATTTAGAAAATTTCTAGGAGAAACTATTCATTCTACTCGCTAAGTTTGAGAAAACAGGGACCGTTTTCCTGCTGATTGCTGCACGCTCACAAAACAAACTTTGGAGCTGTGGAAAATTGAGAAGCTGCCATACTTTAGATGCTCGTTTAGGCACGAGTTGTTCCAAAGCCAACCTTTCAACTTGAAAAAGTAGGTCAACTTTTTCTTTTGCAACAGACACACACTATCCACTACGTCGTTTAGTTGCTTAACAAATAACTCCATTTTATCAAAGCCATTGGGACACAGAATTTCTAGAGGGATTGATTGATCTGCTATTTTCCAATAACAATAAAAGGAACTATTCGAAACTTCAGGAGCATTTAACAGATCATCTTCGGCTGGATTCTTTTAACAAGAACATCAGGATACATTGTGTGCTAACATGAGCTGAACTTTGCAAGTTGTTTTCAATCAGAACCACGCAAGGTCATTCTACTAAATTTTCACCATCTTCATGCTCCATGCATGTGACGCATTCCCGTGAAATCTGAAAGAAGTTAACAGTAAAAGTTGGGAATGATTTTGAAACTCCTGAGTTCAACGGGGGGGTCATGTCTGATCTCTAACTTAATCAGATCCCATGCTAACTTAATGTAGCAAAGACGTGTACACTGGTCCAAATCGAGGTAGACCCCTTCATCAATCGACAGACCCTATCTTCCTGAGGTTTGTAATTCTGAAGAGGTAAATCATTCCTAGAGTGATCCATTTATTTTACATTTTCTACTCGAGTTTTACTTCTTTGGAGCTTTGCAATACCCAGAGAAAGAGAGAGAGGTGGCGCCAATCATGCTATGGGTTCCAGAAAGTGCAACATAATGCGTTTACCCTGCCTCAAAGTCACGGTCTCACCGTTGTCGTCATTCAGAATCACCTATTATTCGCTAAATCCTGTGAAAGAATTTGATTCTCCTGACCGCCTACAAAATTATCATGAACACTGGAAATTCACATAAATGTTCGTTGAACCTCAATCCCTGTTGATGTGGTCGTTGAAGCTCAATGGTAGCTGAGAAATCTGCTGCTTTTTGTAATCGTGAGGCCTCTAGCTTGAGTTGTTGCATTCACGAGACAGCCGTGAACTTGGTTAGAGACTTGAGCCTTCAGAATCTGTCATTTGCATCGAGGGTGCTTCGCATTAAGGCGTCGATTTAGTTCGCTCCTTTGTTCGACTTCATTCTCCTTCATGAATGCAGGGATTTTAGTTTTCCTCCTCTTCTAAGTCCCTAGGATCAAGCAGATCCTTATCGCATTCACAGCATCGTCATTGCAAAATTGCTCACTTCTCAAGTGGTCAAGCACCCCTTCTGTACCATGTATCGAAATTCATTCGAATGAAGAAACCAGTAGCTTCTGCTCCAACTACGACAGATGCTCAGTAAGGAGCGCTTTGTTGTCACAAGTTGGAACGAATATATAGCTCTTCAAATTGACCCTCCCTCTTGTATCTGCGGTGATACTACGGGGCGGGCGAAAGGTGAACCCACTTTAAAAGCACTAAGAAGCACGTCAAGACCTTGGCTGAAACCACAGAGCTATTCCAGGCCAAGGAGAATGAAGCTGATTACTCTGGCAGTGTGCATTATATTGCTAATCTTCAAATGCAGTGCACAACCTGCTGGTACAGGTAGAATTTCTTCACATGTCCTTACCCAATTCTTAATCTACACTCTCAATTCAGATTCGGAGATTGATAGCACAGTTGTGTCTGCATACAGCACGATGAGAGATACGACCATGATTGCCGGTATGAACTGCAGTGAAGGACTGTTAAAGTTGTTCATAATTTTAGAGAAAACTTGGAAAAGGATTTGCGTCCAAAACTTTACGATATTTGCTAGTACTTGCCACTTCATATACAGTTGGACTGCACACCTGTAGATTGCGAATTCATCTTGAAAAAAAATAATAGAAGCCAATGGAAGGTAGTTTCTACAATTTATGATTTCGTTTTGACTAAACTTCCATGCTGGGGGACGGCTGCCCGTTCCCTTCCATGCTCAGGCCCTGTTCTGTGATGGTGAAGACGTTTAGTGTGCGTTATTGGTGCGACAAACTCTCGACGGTCATGAATAGTTCCACGAATACAACAGTCATCATCATGAAAATTCTGCGAAGTCTTCTGAATGCATTCAAGTCGGAAGCAAGGTTTTTTTTTGAAGGTCGTGATTCTTTCTGCTTGTCACTTTTTTATCTCACAACTTGCATCTGTGAATGCAGATAATGGATACGCACCCCAGGCTCACACGATAGGCATCAACTACGGTACCCTAGGCGACAACCTCCCTCCTCCGTCTGCGGCAATCGCAACAATTAAGTCCATGCAAATTGGCCGCGTAAAGATCTTCAACCCAAACGCAGACATCCTGAATGCGCTAGCAAACAGCGGCCTCGAAACGGTGGTCGCCATTCCTAATGACCAAATCGGGCAAATTGGCACGAACCCCGCCGCGGCGGAGGCTTGGATTGCCCAAAATGTCGACACCTACTACCCCGCCACAAACATTGTCACAATCCTCGTAGGCAACGAAGTCTTCTCCGATGCATCTCTTCCCTGGACATCACTCGTCCCTGCGATGCAAAACCTCTACAACTCCCTTTCCACGCGAGGCTGGTCCGACAAAATCAAGGTTTCTACTGCCGTGGCAGCCGATGTGCTCGCCAGCTCATACCCTCCCTCAGTTGGCACATTCCGTGCAGACATAGCCGTGCCCGTGATCCTCCCCTTGCTCAGATTCCTGTCGTCAACGCATTCCTACTTCTACATCAACCTCTACCCCTTCCTCTCGTATACCACAAGTGGAGGCGACATCAGCTTGAACTACGCCCTGTTTGCGAGCGGTTCAAACTCAGTCGTGGACGGTTCCCTCACCTACACCAACCTTTTGGACGCGCAGCTGGACGCTGTAATTTCAGCCATGGAGAAGCTAGGGTTTGGAGACGTGCGCGTAGCTGTGGGAGAGACCGGTTGGCCGACAAAGGCGGACGCAACCCAAACAGGCGCGAGCGTCCAAAACGCCGCTATGTACAATCGGAGGCTAGTGCGAAAACTGCTTTCGAGCAGCACAAACGGCACTCCGAAGCGCCCAAACGTCTTCATTCCAACCTTCATCTTCGCATTGTTCAATGAGAATCAGAAGCCTGGACCAGAATCAGAACGCAACTGGGGGCTTCTGTACCCGAATTTGGGGGCAGTGTATCCTATAGATCTTACGGGGCAGATGCTTGACACCCAGTACGCCCCAATTTTGCCCTAACTTGTGCGAGAGACTTCGGCAACAGCATGAAGTCGAGTGACGGTATTGTCCCCGTGTGATAATTGTGTGGTAGGCTTAGTTCTCGTGTCAAGGCCCTCGATCAGCATTCCCCCTGCGGATGGTGACGAGTCCAATGGCTGATCCTGGGGAGTTTCACAGTCCCCCACGAGATTTTGTTCTTTATGTGGAATTCAGATGCAGCAATCTACGGCTGCTGCAGTTTTAGTTACATGCAGAAGTACCCATTAGAAAAAATTCATTTGGGAGTTGATAGAGTTTTTTTACGTGCGTTTCATGAATTGATTGTAACAAAGATGACTTGGGAGGTACATCACGCTGAGCTCCGCATCTAAATTTGTCTTTTCGGTGAGGTGGAAAAACATGAATACTTTTCATAGCTGTGAAAGAATGTCATACCCAGAAATTCACATAGTTCGATGGATTCGTGTGCCATTGGCGATATCCTTCAGGAAGCTATTTTATGAAGTTCAGGCTCATGGAATGCCGGTCTTGAAACTTCACTTTTCCACTCCGTTTCTGTTTTACACTTACTACGGACTTAATATACACATATTTGCCATAAATAAATTTAATTACTACTCTATAATAATAACAATAATAATAACAGAGGAAAAAAGGAAAATTGGCGTACACTAAAGCACAAGCCGGAAAAATGCAAATACTTGAGACATAATATAAAGCAAGTTCATTTTAGGAACAAGTTGCAGCTTGAGGCTTGCAACATGTACATAGAACTTCGTAGGTAGCAAAATTGGGATAGGTCTGGGTACCTTGAGACAAGAGTAAACTTTACGGCACCTCTTTAACTGGATCCTGAAGACTTTGAAGCTAGTATGTCGACGAGCACATGCTCGTGGAGTTCACGGTCAATTGGAAAGTGTGCTCGACAAAGACTTCTTGACCTGCATCAGGCCCACAACAGCAAGGAAACGCAAAGTCCTTGTCTGCTTAGCAAGAGGCTTCAACGACTCACCGTGGCATAGACTAGGAACCTGTCGACAATGACTGCTAGAAACAAACAGTGTAATCAAGACATGTACCAGAACACAATCCTCCATCTACTAGAAACAAAGAACACAGCAACTGGGAGTCTCCGTCGAAATTGGACCATTGAACTTGGAGAATAAAACGCTAACAAGATGTGCAATTAATCGATCAGACGCATTCACACATCCAGCGTCATCACTACACACACGATTCATGTGCAGTGAAATGCCGAAAGGTTCACACAAACTGCACTATCGGTACTACTTGAACGAATGGTTACGCACCGTTCGAGAAAACTTAAGTTTAAAAACGCACAATATTGAAAGAGTCGCGGAGTTGGAAAGATCAACCAAGTGGATGATTGGATAGTGGCATCAGCACGACCTTGGAATTGACGAAAACGGGGAAAGTTTGGAAGACACGATGTAACATGCGATGAATTAGAGAAGCGCATTTAAGCTGCTGGAAACTACTGAAGATAAATGTTTCGAAGATGGGTAATGTCTGAATACTTTAGTCTCTCTAGGGTCATGAGCCTAGGATGTTCAAGTGACAAACAGCTTGAGGGAAGAAGCATAGAGACAACCGTTCATTAGCTGGTCAAAAATGTATTCTGAATCTTTTTCTCCTATTTGTACCCTCAAACAATTCTACATAATCCTTGTAATACACTATTAACCTTAGATAATAAGTTGACCAAATAGATATTTTGTCCAATAAAATTATCTAGGTTAAAAACACATAAAATTGAGAGAAGTTGCAAGGGCGTCATTAAGGATCTAAGTCTTATTTCTAGAGTCCTTTTTATGCAAAATCATATCTAGTTAAAAACACTAATTGCATCCTCCCACTGCCAGCAACTTCATTAGATGAAACTCCAAAATTAATTTAAATTAATGCCATTATTGGTGTCCAAATATTCAAAATTCAACCAAAATTAATGATATTATTGATGCTTCAAATGCTCAAAATCTAATTTATAGGCATCTTTTTTAAGCAAAAAGATAATGTTTATCATAAAAATATATATTTATTTAGATTAAAGAAACTAAAAAAAAAAATAGAAGTAAATTAATTTGATAATATCTTGTATAAAAGCTTTTTAAGAGAGACAAAGATGCAGATTTAACTTGATATGTGTTTAGAGATGATTGATAGATTGAAAACTTTGCCAACAAGATGGCAATGTATCACACATATTGATAACTTATAATACAAGATAATTATGTGGTGCATATATAAGAAACTTATCTTGCAAGTTAGACATGTGTCTTATAAATTGAAGGTCTTATAGAATGTTGTTACATAGCTCTTAATTAGATAATATATATGTAGGCAAGAGTAAAGCCTTCTTTATTCTTATCAACACCTTTCTTATTCTTAGTCTTGTTTTAAGAATCTTTGGTCTTCTTATATTTTATAATAGCTATTCTAGTTCTAATATGATACCATTTTTGAATGATGATATGTTCTTTTCCAATAACACAAAAGTGCATTAATTCTTTGGTTCTCTAAGATATATGTCTAAAAGACATGAATCTTAAAGAAAGAAAAATCCTTAATACACTCTTATGTCACTGAAAGGAAGTAGAAAGTCACTCAAAGTTGATATAATATTGAACTAGAATGGCTATTGCTAAAAACAAGAAGACTAGAAAGTCTTGAAATAAGACTAAGGACTAGAACGACATTGATAAGAAGGCTTCACTCTTGTTGAGGCTTTTGTAACTTCCTTCAATTAGAATATTTTGAATATCATCAAGAGTTGTTCCTACCTCTAACAAAATCATTAAATATTAGAAGTTTCTTCTAAGGTTGTGATATCAAAGACGTTATAACTTGCTATCTATTCAAGGAAGGATATGTCGTTCTTGAGGATCTTAAGTTAAATCTATTGGTTGTTGTTTAATGTCACAAATACACTGAAGCTACAAATAAAGATAAAAAATAGAGTGTGATCTTTTTTTCATCTTGTTTTTTTTATAGCAAAAATTTATTATTCTTCATTTTGGTTTTGATCGATGTCATTGATAAAAAGCCTCAACTCTCTTTGCTCCATTTGCAAGATTCTTTATTGACTTCTATGTGTGTTCACTAATATCATATCTATGACAATGAACAAGATATTCCAATCTATTTTGGCAACGCCTTAAAACTATGTCTATTTCCACTTCAAATTCTTGATTATTTTCCACTTCTATAAGATGAGGTAGTATTTATCTTCTTTCTAAGATATTCACTATCTTACATGGCTCAAGAAGAGACACATGAAATATAAGGTGGATCTTCATAAACTCTGATAGATATAATTATTAAATAATAAGATTGACTTATTTACAAATAGAAAAAGATCCAAGCCTATAACAGTCGAACTTGTCACAAGGATGAGTAGTCTTGATATTGTGATAAAATAATCATACCTTATCATCCGCATTGAATTGTGGTTGATCCTTGCGATAAGCATTCGCATTGATCTTTTGTCGTTCTTGAGCTTCCTTCAACTATGCCTTCATTGTTGCGTGTAGCTTTGACAAATAAATTTGCCAAATCTTTTGTCACAGGATTATCAACTTTTGAAAAGTCAAAAGTATCAAGTCATGGATGATAACCATAGTTGATAAAGAAACTATCTGTTGAATAGTTGAATGTATCAAATAATTGTATGCAAACTCTGCCAATCGTAAAGAAATATTCAATCATCTTGAAAATAGTTGATGATACACCTTAAGTATTGCTCCAAAACTTGATTCACCTTTTTTATTTGTCCATCAGTTTGAGGATGAAAAGCCAAAGAGAGCTTTATATCCACCTTTAAAAACTTGAAAATGATTCTCCAAAATCTTGATATAAACTAAGTCTTCCTATCTAATATAATATCTTTAGGTAATTTGTGATAGCGATAGATGTTGTTAAAAAAAAGCTTAGCCATTTTTTTACTTGTGATAGATTTTGTACATGGTATAAAATATACCATCTTAATAAAATGATTTAATATCACAAATATAGAATCATACAAATCTAAGACTAGAAGATCTATGATAAAATCCATAGGAATGAAAGTCCATAGTTATTTTGGAATAGGTAATGGTTGAAAAGGTCTATAAAATCAATAGCAAGGAGTTTTAGATCTTGAACAAATATCACATAATTGAATAAAATCTTTGATTGCCTTTCACATTTGAGGCCACCAAAATCTCTCGATATTAGCTCTAAAGTCTTATTGTATCTAAAATGTTAGGTTGCTAGAAAGTCATGATAAGTTTGAAGAACATCCAATTGTGCCCCACCTTCTAAAATATACAATCATTCCTCAAAATAGAATTGATTGTTCTTAAACTTGAACTTGGAAGTATCATAAGACTTAGGAGAATTATTCTTGATATCATGGATAACAAGAATAGAAGATACACTTGATTGAATTTGCTTGACAAACCTTGAATCAACAATCAATGTTGATTTTATTGCTTAAAGGTGAAAATATTCCAATTTCAAGAAAATTACTCATTATCAATTAAAAGATACATCTCCTTCTTTTGATGTAAGATAAGAACATCTAAAAAAGGCATTCAAAAAACCTTGTTGTTTTTTGGATTAATAAGTAATCTTGAAATTAAATCTTAATAAAAACATGCTCCAATGAATTTGGCAACAATTTAAAATACATATCAACATGAAGTACTTGAAGTTCTTGTGATTTGTATATACAGTGATTAGATTCAATGCATCTTCTAAATAATGACGTAATTCTTAAAATGAATCCATAATTGTAAGGAGTTCTTTGTTGTGGATCTCATAATTAATCTTGGCTGCTAAAAATTTTTTGGAATAGAAAGCTATTTAATAGAGTTTCTTACATGCTCCCATTTGTGCTAATACTACACCCAAAGCAAAGTCTGATGCATCTATTTCTATGAAAAATGCCTTGAAAAGTCAACATAATATGAGATTGGTACAAAAATAAACTCCTTTTTTGAAGCATCAAATGATGCTTTGGCTTATTTATTCTATTAAAGTTTGTCTTTACAAATCAAACATATATGTGGAACTACAACTTAAAAAAATTCTTAGTAAAGATCTGATAGTAATTGGCAAAGCTCAAAAAGCATTACATATTTTTTTTAATTTTTTTAGAATCATTCAATTCATGATAGTTTAAACATTTTTTGGATCCATCATTAGTCCTTCATTAGAAATGATTTATTCTAAGAAATCAACTTGAGTAGTGTAGAATATACACTTTTCTAACTTAACATATAATCCTACATCTTTAAGTTTTTGTAATATATAACAATTAATGAACTTTATACTCTTCTGTGTTTTTAGAGTATATTAAGATGTCATCCAAATAACATATGAAAAAATTATAAAAAAATTCACAATAGACATCATTCATTAGATGTTGAAAAGCATCTAATGCATTTATAAATCCAAAAGGCATGACATTATATTCAAAATGACCATACTTGATTCAAAACATA